AAACGCATGCCGGGCGTGTGTGTGTGTGTGTGTGTGTGTGTGTGTGTGTGCCAAAAATCCTGAGAGTAGAATGGAGGAGAAGGGATTGTGGCATGGCCATCCCCCCTGGGGAGTTATTTCTTGCTTTCTGTCTCTCTATCTCTCTCTGTCTTTCTGGCAAGCGCATGGCCCTATGGCAAAAATCTCTCCAAAAAAAAAATTATGTATGAATTGAGAAAACATTTTTGCATCAACAAACTTATACTTTAATTCCATTTTCCCATTAACTTTTTGAAGTGTATTATTTGTGAACCAACTCAAAATTACATGGTGACAGACTTTTAAGATGATCAGAACTATTAATTCAATTCTCTTTTTATCCAAAAAGATATATAATTAGGAAGATTAATAAATAACTTTGTGGTGATTGTTAGTACTATCTGCAGTTTTTACCTTGCAGTTTTTAAATTTGGCACTCTTTGGAATGATGATGTATGCCTAAAGGAATATTACCTCCACTTATCTCTAAAATGGAGTTAGACAAAGGATAATATATATATTATATATATTTGCATACATATTATACACATATATATTACACACACACACACACACACACACACACACACACGCACACACAAATAACCTTCATGGTGTTTGAAGGTAGGCTCCCGAGAACCCTAGGGGAGGGAAGGGTTAAACCAGGCACTGCAGCAGTTGGGAGGGACCTGGGGCAGCCTGTTCATTAGGAAATCTGGTATTTCAGGTTAGACTGGGCTTAGGGAATGTCTGCTCCTTTGTTGAAGAGAAAAAGTGCTTCAGATCTGGCTGCACTCTCAGAGTTGATCTGTAGAAAATTATTTCTAGACCTTTCTAGCATCAGAAAGTGAGGCAGGCCCTGCAGTGCCTTCAACAGACTTTACCCCCAGAAGCCAAGGCAGCATCCCCGAGCCCCTAATTACAGCCCAGCACCTCCCGGCTCCCAGGAAGTTTGGATATAGTCTGCAAATCTTTGGGTGCTCGTCTTTTCCCCCCCAAAGAGCCATTATCCTTTTCACACTCACTGTGAGATTCTTAAGTCAAAGTGATATTGAAGTTGCCATTTTTACTTTCACATGATTTTGTTTTCCTACTTCTCTTATTTGGGGATTCATTTACTTATATTTCTCCAATACTTAGCCTCTTGTAGATATATATATATATATATATACTTAAGTTCCTTCATGTAACCTATGACTAATTGGCTAAATAAAAACAACGTGGACTCCTAGTATTTAAGAGTACATTTCATTCCAGGCTCGATAACAAGGAGTCAATTACACTGTTCATTCCTGACATTCTTTATCCCTCCCTTTCCTGCAAAATCATAAACAAAACTCATGTCAGAAAGTTCTTAATTAATCGATAGTGTGTCCAGGGTAGGCTTATTTTTAAATTCAATTCATTGGCTCCTTTAGCAATTTATCTACTAAGCACGAACTTGTCTTTTATTCAGTTGTGTATTGTCTGTCAATGGTCTCCAATTCCACATTTGCACATGTTCCCATCAGCCAGGTTATGGCTTCTGCAGTCCATACACAGCGTAAAAGGAAGAAAGTAGGTAAGAGAAGGAACTGACCAGGAAGGAGAGAAAGGATAGTCAGACCGATAAGGCTGGAATGTAAATGGATCAAGACCTTTGTGACTGAAGGGCAAGAGCA